TTTTTCTTTTTTGTAATATATTTTTTGTGTTTCGATTTATTTTGGCAAACAGATACATATTTGACTATTTTCATTCATGAGATTGTTTACAATGTTTATTTTTGCTGATTAAAGTTTTATTATTGATAAAGTACAAATTTAAGTTATAGTATTGGTACATAAATTTGAAATGCATTAGATCGCGAATATAAAGGTAATGTTTACTTTTTCACACTTTTCATATTAAAAATATTTAAATATTATTAGAATTCGTATCTTATTTTGAATTGAAAATATATTTAAAAAATTATATTAAATAATAAAATCAAAACATTTGAAAAACTTTTAATTAAAGTTAAATTAATTTTAAGTATAAGAAAAATTCTTAATTTTGTCTAATTTTGTCAATTCATCTCACCATTCACAATTCTAATAAGAGTAGTCCTTTTTAATCAGGGAAAAGTGTCATATTTAAGTCATATTTAGATACTTTTCTCTATTTACTTTCTACCTTAATTTAAATAGTGTTTGGACTCTCGTGTATAATAAGTAATTAAAGTTTGGATTCTAAATACTAGATTGTGGAAATCTGAGTCTTCAATTTTGATATCAGACTCTAATTTAACTAGTGAAATCATCGATCTTTAGATAAAGTTATTAAATTTTATTAAGTTATTTACAAAAGTCCAAATGTAAATTCTATTACCTTAGATGTACTTTCAATTCATTGTTTCAGATATTGTGTCAGCCAAAATACTTTCACTTAATTAAGTATGAAGCTGACTGAATCGGGTTGGAGTAGCAGTCTAATTTCCAGTTATTTCTCGAAGTAATGACATGCAAAAGAAAATCTGAGAGCAATATTTTATAATCAGTTAAATCTAGAGGTATTGGAATAAATTTTTCCTTTAACTAAGTTTTAGAATTTGGTGATCAGAGTCAGAATTGAAGGGCTCTAAAATTAGAAACTAAAATTTGAACAACATATTTACTCCATTCATCTCGATTTAAATTGCATCATTACTATTCACATGTTCAAATTTTAATCAATTTCATTAATCTTTTTTACTCATTTGATAAAAAAAATATAGTAATGTTACATCTTGATTTGTAACACTTTTAATGTAATTTTAAAATATATATACTTCTTATTTTTTAATTCACATCAATTTTCAAATAAATTGAATTGAAAATCATCATTCTATTCTTAAAAGTAAGGGAAAAATGCACCATCATTTTCCCGCCCAAATGCATTGACAAAAAATCTAGACTGATTATATTACTATTTTTAATATTATTCTATTCTTAAAAGCAGGGGAAAAATGCACCAGCATTTTCCCGCCCAAATGCATTGACAAAAAATCTAGACTGATTATATTACTATTTTTAATATTATCTATACATCTATACATTATTTAAAAAGACATGAATTTTTTCCCGCTCATGCAAGCCACTCATATATGGAAAGTGTTGACAACATAAATGGTAGTTTAATTATTTTACCTTAATGTTTTCATTTTTATTTTTATTTAAATGTTACACAATTTAAGCATTTAAATTAAATTAAATTAAATGGTAGTGAACCATTGGAGAATTGAAGTATGAAAATAAAATACACTGCCATTTAAATATTAAAATGAAATTTAAAAATTACAAATTAAAAAGGTATGAGCAGGATTAAAATGATTTATTTCAAACAAACTACAAATTAATTATTTATCATTAAAAAATATTATAATTTACAAGCACAAACGCGTAAAAATGGTAAGTTTTCTAAAACAGATTAGAAAATAAATATGGCACGGTAAGTAGATGATAACATTTAAATAAAAGAATAAAATAAAAAACTACAAATTAATATTAATACTATAATTTAAAAGAATGGAAACATTTTAAAAATGACAAATGTTCTAATTAGAAAATAAATAGATATGGTATGGTAAGCAATTAGAACCATTTAAAAACGAAACTAAAATAAATGGTAAGTTTTCTAAAATAAATTAGGTCAGTGTTCTAAAATAAAAGAGAAAATAAAATACTCCCTCCATCCCCAATTTGATTACAAATTGCGGGTTATGGAGTAAAATTTCTTACTTTTTGAAATAATTTTATTTACAAATTGATATATCAATAAGATATAAAAATTATATATTAAACAACTACGTCAAAAGTTCTACAAAACAAGAAGTGATATGAATATTTTATTTTATCAAATATTTAATGAAATCATGTAAACAAACAAAAGTTATCGAGAGAATAGAAAAAAAATTGTAATCTATTTAGGGACAGAGACAGTACATCTAAAAATGACAAGTGTTCTAAAATAAATTAGAAAATAATGTGGTTTGGTAAGTAATTAGTATGATTTAAATACGAAAATAAAATAAAAAACTGAAAAATTAATATTAATACAATAAAACTATACTTTAAAAACATTTTTTTTAAAAAGGTAAGTGTTCAAATTAGAAAATTAGAAAATAAATACGGAATGATATGTCACCACGATAAGCAAATGGTACCATTTAAACACAAAATAAAATAAATGGTAAGTGTTCTAAAATAAATTAGGTAAGTGTTCTAAATAAATTAGAAAATAAAATAATTATTAAAATGATAAGTATTCTAAAATATACTCCGTATTAGAAAATAAATACGGTACGCTAAGTAAATGATACCATTTAAATAAAAAAAATAAAATAAAAAACTACAAAATAATACTATCAATTAATACTACAATTTACAAGCATGGTAACGTGTAAAAATGGTAAGTTTTATAAAATAAATTTAAAAATAAATATGGTACATTAAGCAAATGGTACCATTTAAATGCAAAAATTAAAAAATTATAAATTAATACTATAAGCATGGAAACATGTAACAATGGTATAAGTATTCTAAAATAAATACTATTAATACTATAATTTACAAGCATGGATACGCGTAAAAATGGTAAGTGATCTAAAATAAAATAGAAAATAAATACCATAGCGTAAGTTAATGGTACCACTTAAATACAAAAATAAAATTAAAAAAATACAAATTCCAAAATAAATACATTAATATGTTAAATTATTACTTAGATAAGTCAAATTATTGAATTATTAGTCATGAGAAAGTGTATATTACAGTTTAAAGAGTAATAAATCGCAATGGCTTGAAGATTCTGATATACAACAAAGTGAATACTCACACAAATTATACATACGAGTGATGTAGTTTATAAAGAAGTCTTTCAAAATTTGTAAATCATTTTACTTTTGTACTTTAAAATAATAAAATCTCTATATTCCATTATATACCAATTTATATTCCTAAAATGATCTTAAGTTAGTACCATAACTATGACCCGTGCAACGCACGGGTGTGATATTAGTGTTAGTATTTTTTGGGCTTAGGAAATGTGGAAAGGTTTTAAGTATTAATAAGCATCTGGTGATGTGATTTAACTTTGGGAAAATAAAGAAATATAAAAAGCTACTCAGTAGGATTTTTTATGTGGCCAATGTAAATGTTGAATTACCTTGCAAGGGAATAAGACCAACTATGGAATTATAAAATGGAGGTTAACGGTACAAGCATAATATATATCCATGTATTCTGCTAGAAGTTTGGAACAACGTTGAAATGTAACACAACTGCTTGTTACAATTTTTGTACGAATTACAACGGACGCGGAAGATGAACGGCCCCGAAAAATAAAATTAAATAAAATTATAAATTTATAACTTATTCAGAATATTACAAGATAAACAAAATTGAAAATAAATTTCTATATCTTCAAAAAGCCTTGTTGTATGAGGACATTAAGCACTGGACAACAAGGACATTATGCACTGGACAACGAGGACGTTATGCACTGGACAACGAGGACGTTATGCACTGGGCTGCGAGGCATTATGCACTGGACAACAAGAACATTATGTCCTAGGGCAGAATGCAGCGAAGTCTTTATGAACTAAACCTGCAAAAAAACACCGTGGAAGGACAGCGGAGCCGCCGGAGCTGTCCTTAAGGTAGTAGTGCCACCTACCGTACCGGAAAAACGTGGGCACTCTCCTCCCAAGATAAAACCGCTATCGTGTGAGGAGATTTTACGAACCAACCACACACCAACGAACAAGAACAACGTAGGAACGTTGGCGACCAAAAAAAACTTTGAAGGGGATTGCCGGAAATTCGGCCAGAAAATCAAGAGCTCTCTCCAAAAACAAACAAGGAAGTATTTTCCTTTTTTTTCTTCCTCACGCATGAAACCACCCATGATGGAGAGTCTCCCTTGATTTGTTTTTATAACAAGGGAATTTGAAAAAATGTAACTCCTACACCATTAATCCATGGCATTTGTGGCACACTAATGACGTGTTAATGGTGATTAATTAGCCATTAACACGTCCGTTACGCTACGCTCCGTTTAAAATTTGTCCCGAATAATTGGAGATTAATGGCCAGTTAACTCCGTAAAAATGAACTAATTTTAAACAATACGTAAAATTAATAATAGAAGATTGGTTCAGTAAAATTGCAAAAATTGCAATCCTTACCATATTCTTCTATTGACGGGTTAACTCTGAGAATCAATTTCTCATTCACCCTCTCAGAGTGAACACACATCCATTAATTTTTGGCGTATAAATTTTCAAAACATTTATCTCATTTAAGAGAACACACGTCCATTAATTAACGCTTAAAATCATTAGTGGACCTATTGACAAATATACCCAAGTTGGTCAATTTAATGCCTATTAAAAATGCCAAAAAATTTCAACACTGCTCTCTTAAGATTTTTTTAGAGAACATTAGACAAAGATGGCAAACTCTCCTTAAATTCGTTATCCAAGAACAATAATCATAGCTCTTAGGTCATGTTTTCCTCAACTTATTTCTATTCGTCATTACTTGTTCTTGTTTGAATTAGACCAGATCAGACCATATTAGATCAAAAACAGTTTTAATTATAATTACACTCAGATCAAATCGAAACTTATTACAATCAGATCAGAACTAATTAGATCATGTGAAGAGAACATCTCCCACTCTAAGGTTGGGCGTGCCAAGCACATTAGTGAAACTACAACAGCTGAAGGAAAGCTGATGGAATCACCTGTTCATCATTCCAATGAGTTCCTGTAGAGTTGCAGTATGAAAAAATAGGTTGTTTTAAAGAACATTGTACACAAAAAGATTGACATTGATAGACTAATAAATAAGTAGCAGCGCAAAGGCAAAAGCATGGGTGCTTCTTTTGCAAGTGTTGAATATTATGCAAAAAATTATCTGCATTGCCATAACATTTTGCTCATCTGTCAAAACACTGCATATTGAACGCCTATTAAAATATTGTGGATTCAGATAGCAGACTCAATGAAATTGTTATAACAAATCATGAAAAGATAGGGAGTAAAATGTAATTTGTGGACAGTATAAACAAAAAAAATCATTATTTGCTAGCTTCTGCAAAATATTTAAGATTAAACAATACTTGGAAAGATAATAAGTTTAGGTCCCCCTACTTGATTAAAATATTCTTCTTAGGCTTTATAGCATCCTTCAATGTTTTCACTGAGTGAGTCGGTATGTCATCTCCAGATATCACAGCTATTGAAGGTCCGGGACGTTTCCCAGATTCTGTTGCAGTAGGCTTCTCATGCTGCACTGTTTCAGTTTCATGCGGCATCTTCTTATTCTCAAGGAGAACTGATGACCCTGCTACACATTGTAAATGCAATTTAACCGGTCAATATCTCCCTCTGCTTTTGAATTATCATGATTTATGTATGACTTGCAGAGAAATCTAAACACAGCATGGTACCAAAACACCAATTAGCTGAGACTCTACTTGTTTATGTTATGGGCACGATAGGGATAAGACACACACGCTCCTGATAACATAGGAAGAGACATGACAGTGTCCTAAGTCCATTTAATTATACTTGCAATTATATGTATTATATGAATAAAGGTAAACCCCTACTAAATACTAATAACCCTCCCCATAATCCCGGTGAGTACTAAAATAGGACCCTAACTGATTACAGTATTGCTATTAAGAATATTAACTACTCCATAAAATAGAATACTAATACTAATAAGATGCTATTACTTCTAGTAATAAAAGCACCAAGACTTCTAATAATAACAATCGAAACTAATACTTATATAGTTATATTTATAAATAATAAAAATTTATTATCTGCAAGGTTATATTGACACCCAAAATGGGCATCACTTTACGACACCAGTCAAATTGAGGCCCCTACGGTGTTCCGTTTGGAAAAATGGATGGTTCCTAACCCCCTACCCCAGCCCAACCCCCGCTGTCAATTGAGCCCCCAATTTTAGTTGACTTTGGGGTCGATTTTATTGACGGAAAGTCAAACAAAATTGTGGGGCTCAATTGACGGAAGAGGGGGTTGGGGGGGTAGGAACTATCAACGGTAGGACCCTCATTTTGACCGGTGTCATAATATGACACTCAAAACGAGTGTAATATAACACTCAAAACGGTGTCATCATATTAATAGTAATAATAATAATAAGAACAATAATAATAAGTATTATTATTATGATGATGGTAATAATAATAATAATAATAATAATTAAAATAATAATGATAATAAATCATATGAGTGTGCACGCGAAAAAAATCATATGTGTAGTAGATTACCTCTAGGAACAATTCATAGAGTTCAAACAAGGAACCGAAAGAGGTGTTGCATACCAAGACAAATCTTATGTAAGACAATCAATTCCTATACTATAACATATCTAGTCTTACAAACAAAAGAAACAATGAAAAGCACATCATTATGACCAAACTTGGAGCAGATAATAATAATAACTCACAGTGTAAACCAATAGTAGATTTCAAATCTTCTAAGTTGACACTCGTTGAATATGGATCCCTTGCATGAGGAAATGCAAAATGTAAGAATTTACAAGAGCGAATGTTAATAATTAATAAGCCTTGTCTATTCTTTTGTGACAAAAGAATAAAAAGCACATTACAAAAGCAAAATATTTTCTATGCCAATATTGCTTCATTTAGAGTCCAAAAATGGAAGAGAAAACTAGGAATATGAGTGGGTGGGTAACTAGGTGTGCACTTCAATAAATCAAATTACGGAAGTAGGGTATGGGGATGGTGTGTGTAAGCAGACCTTGCCCCTACCCAAAAGTAGAGAGGCTATTTCCAGGAGACCCCCGGCTCAAGCTGCACAAAAAGAAGGATAACAAAAAGAAGTGTGCATTAAGGTGCTGAAAAAATGTCACCGAAACTAAAAAAATGTTTTGGTGCTGAAAATAAAATGTCACGATCAGTTGACACTAAATAAAATGTCACCGAAACTAGTGTACATTAAGGTGCTGAAAAAAAAATTTACCTTGTTCTATTTTGAGAAAATGTCCAAAATATAGTCCCCACTATAGAGCCTACAATGAAAGAGTCTTGTCCTTGTCGAAGTCTATGTAAGTACGCATGGAATTTCATATGATATGAAGCTAAACCCCTATTTTATCAGTCATGCTAGTCTTTGTGAGCAAGTTGAGTTCTAACCTAATACAAGGACTCCATATAATATTTCTATTAGAAATATTTATAAAGTAGAATGACAATACTAATGGGAAACTAATACTAATGCTAATAATAGAAAAGTAATCTAAAAAACTACTATTTAATAGTACTCTTTTGTGGATCCATGAACCGATATCGTAACACCCTTTTGGATTGCAAGATTGGGTTCAAGCTTGCAAGGGTGGTGAATGGTGATAAGTGTTCTGCAAACACTTCCTACAATGTAACAATATCATTAAACGGTCTTCAATTAAGTTTGTGCACCACATGAAATATGTGGAGACTTGGATCCATAAGCAGCAGCATTTGGGGTCCCAACTCCCAACCAGACTTGTATGTGGCCCGAAATGTGTTGAAATATATCATTCCTGAGATGTGATTCCACTGCATATCATCCTTAAACAATCTCCAAATATTGGCTGACCCAAATCATAAATACATTGCTCTATCTGGACCGTTCTTCAGTTTTGCAAACTCAGCTTTATCAGTATCTCCCAAAGGCGCGGCAGCCGCGTCATAGGAGCCATAACTTGTAAGCAAATCTGGAACAGGGTGGGATGACATATTTGGTGCGGCACGGCTTATTTGCTTTTTGCCAGTGATGGAGGAACCAGTGGATTTGCTGGTGGTAGGCTGGTAGCTGTTTGTCCGACAGAAATCGTGCACACAGAAGGAGACTTTGGCAGCCAATCTGTCGTCAGGGGGGAAGTTTGAAGCATTGATTACTAGTATTCATGGTGCCCCTCATAAAATATATTTCCCGTGAAGTTCTAGTTTGGTCGCCAGTGCATAACAGCATCAAAATACACTAATGACTAATACTTGGAGCACAATCCTTGTCACTCTTCAAAATTATGACCTCTTGGCAAACACACAATGTGAATCATGTCATCATCAACGGGATAACATGATTGAGAAAAGGAGATGCACAAAGTTCAGCGGATATTATTATTATTATTAATTTATTATTATTTATTGTTTCCTATTGTTATTAGTGACTAGTCATTTCTTGTACTAGTGTGGTAGTAATAGTTTCCTATTTGTATTAGTTCTATTTTAATTCATATTCCTAATAGCAAAATTGTGTTAGATTAGCTCTTTTAACTTGCATAACAAGACTGCTGGGACTAGCATAAATAGAGGTGTTATATTCATCAATAGAAATATCAATTGTTTTGGAGTTAATTCATGCGTGTCTTCAGCAAGGTCAAGCACAAACCCTGCTATACTGTTAGAGTGCATCCCACATCGAAAGTCCTAGAGTAAAAATAATTGGTATATAAGCTCTTGAGTTAAACTAACTAATCGATTGGATTCAATCTTTTAATATGGTTCAACCCAAGTGTCTGATTACCCAATCTAGTTATCCTTATCTCATCCTAAATTCTATCATGGTATCGGAGTAGGTTTTGGCCCACTTCGTTTGTCAAGGTGCATGTCTAGACGTACAGCCTATGGCCGGTTTAACATAATTGCTCGTCTGTAAGTCCATACCCAACGGCTCGTAATCTTTTAGGGGTTGGCGCTAAAAAAAATAAAGGGATGGGAGTCCATTTGCAAGTGGTCAACCGGTTAGATTCAAAATGGCCCAGTTGTCCACTTGAGAGGGAGTGTTAAAATGCATCCCACATCAAAAGTCCTAGAATAAAATAATCGGTATGTAAGCTCCTCAGTTAAACTAACTAATCGATTGGATTCAATCCTTTAATGTGGTTCAACCCAAGTGTCTTGTTACCCAATCCAGCTATCATTACCCAATCTTAAATTCTATCATATACCAAGGGCGAGAAATTCTTTATCTTTACAACTTTCATTCATCATCTTTGCCGACCCGAGTACTTCCACCATGGACCTTAGGCCCATATAACAATGTATGACCATCTGACATAAGCACATTAATAAAAAAACAGATTAAATAAATGCATATCATAATATAATGAAAATGCTTATGTAGCTATTAAGAAATTGCGTGAATATATAGGCGGACCTTAGGTAATAGGTAACCTAAAAATTTACCTTGTTCCCCGCTGCACCCTTAACATGGCCCATATTATTGTTTTCATTTCTCGTTTTCCTTATCTTTTTAGTTTTTTTTTTGGAATTCATTTTTATTTATAAAAAAACAAGCCCGCTACAATAAAGACAACACATGAAGTAAAAGGTTCATGAATAACAACAGAAGGTTCTAATCAGAAAAACAATACTCACTGGATTGTGTGGTTGGGGTATGGATTATGGAAGAGTCGTCCTTGACGAACAGGAAAGTGGTTTGAAGTTAATAGAAGCCCGGGGAGATTATTAATGAGGTTGAATCCCTATTTATACTACTTGCAATAGTCATGAAAAGCAAGTAGAATGCTAATTAGAAATATTAAATGAAGCAGAAACACCTATAGGAAACTTTTACTAATACTAATAATATAAACTGATAACAATATTACTACTTACTAATTAATAATACTCTTGTGCAGACCCATGAGCCTATATCTCCCACTTCCTCTTGTGCCCACTAACCAACAATCAAGAAGGATCCCACAAAAGTAGGGTCTGGGGAGGGTGTGTGTATGCATGGAGACCTTACCCCTACTCGAAAGTAGAGACTGTTTCCAAGAGACACCCACCTCAGACAAAAGGAAAGCAAATACCATGCAAGAAAACAAATAGCAAGTAATGTCAGGAAAAGTACAAAGAGACAAAAGACACACAAACAACTACATCAAAGAGATCGTGATACAAGGGACTACCCAACTATCCTAGTCCTAGATCTCCAAATGCTCTTATCTAAGGTCGTATCTTCAGTAAAGGCTAGAAGTCCTAAGTCATGCTTGATCATGCTTGGTCCCAATAACCCAAGTACCATAGTTTTGAAAGGCGAGAGGCAGGCGAGAGAGGCTTTTTTAAGGCAAATGGCGAGGTGAGAGGCGGGTGGCCAAAAGGCAAACTTGGACCATGCCATAGTTATCAAGGCGACGCAGAGGCGTCTGGGCGAGGCTTTGTGGACGCCTAATTGGTCACCTAGCTTTTTTTTCCTGGGCGACTCAGTGACTATCTCGGAGACGCATCTACGTTTTAGAAATGCAAGGGAACGCGCGGGATAGAGAGAGAAGACGGAGGAAGAGATAGAATGAAGACTTATCTTTCTCGCAGATCTTCCAGCGGCTCTAAGTCTCTGTGTCTTTCTATCTCTCTATTATTTAGACTAGTGGACTAGGTCAAATAACTGGGCTAGGTTCATTAAAAGACTATTGGACCTTTACACAAGAGTACAAGGCCCAAAATTTAGTATGCCTTTTAAAAGCTCCCTTTATTGGAGTAGGCTTATATATATATATATATATATATATATATATATATATATATATATATATATATATATATATATATATATATATATATATATATATATATATATATATATATATATATATATATATATATATATATATATATATATATATATATATATATATATATATATATATTCATTTTAATTAATTATTTCATATTATATGCTTTAACATTAGTACCTATAAAATTTTTATGGTTGCCATAACCCACTCGCCCAGCAGACGCCTAGGCGGGCGCCTAATCGCCTAGGCGATTGGAAGGTGCTCCAGCGCCCAGCCTCGCCTAGCCGCCGTAACAACTATGGACCATACACACACATACATAAAATATATAGTGCAGTGCAATTAATAATGTCAATCCCAAGCAAGTCATACATGTTAAACAAAACAATTAGAGTAGTTACTACATATGTTTCTTGAAAAAAACAAGAGAGACAGAGAGAGGAGAGAAGACTACAAGAGAGAGGAGACAAGACCAGAGAGAGGGGAGAAGACCATACTTATCATGGCGTCGCCTAGGCGTCCTACTCTCGCCATGAGTACTCGCCTTGCCTTATTTTGCATACCTCGCCTTGGCGCCGCCTTTTCTCGCCTAGGCGTTGCCTTAGCCTCGCCTTGACTCGCCTAGTCTAGTACTCCCTCCGTCCTAAAACTTTCTTCTCGTTTCGCAAAACGAAGAAAAAACTCAAGTTTTTTCAATCTATTTTATTTAAATATTGGTATAGAAATAAAAAATAAATCATACATATTTAAAAACTACATCAAAAGTTCAACAAAACAAGTGGTGACAAGAATATTTTATTCTATCATATAGGCCATGAAAAAACACAAATAAATATAAATTCCCGTGAAGTTGGAATAGTGCTCTGGGAAGAAAGTTTTAGGACGGAGGGAGTACTTTTGTTTTTTTACTCCAGTACTTTATTTTTTTAAGAGTTGTATACCCCCGGCTCCAGTGTTTGTTTTTTTAGTGCTTTATAAATTAGTTTATTTCCAAGTTAATGTTTTTTTCTACTTCCTAATTAATACTCAGTGCTTAATTGGTTTTAAATTTTAAATGATTAATTTATTACCTACTTAAGTCGGTAACGCTTTTTTCAACTTTGTTTTTTTTTGAGGAAAGTACTTAAGAGTAACTTTGGTAGTTAAACTTTGATGTATTATAAAAATTTAAACTTTACCAACAATATATAATTTGATATATTTGTATCAGTGTTTTTAATGTATAGAAATTGTCCTATATTATGTGTCGCCTAGTCGACTAGGCATCCTGGCGGTATTCCAACGCCGCGCCTCGACTTGGAGCCGTGATAACTATGGACGAGACCTGCATTGCCGAGGAGACCAGAGGAGACGAGGTAGAGTTGTGTCGATTGACTCAATTTTGGTGGGTGCAGTGGCGCAAGGGTCTAAATGAGTCGTGTTTAAGATGCCAACTCTTTCCTCGTAAAAATGCCAGTCGATTTTTTTTAAGGCCCATAGCCAAATTACAGTAAGGCTATAAAAAGCGAACGCCAAAACACCTGAGGCAACAATTGAGGTGAGAGAGGCGAGCGACTTAGGCGATAAAGGCGGACAGTGCCTCGCCTGCGGTACAAGGTCGCCCGGATGCCTGAGGCACCTTAGGCGAGGGAGGCGATCCCCTCTAAAAATTATGCCAGGTACATATTTTGTGTGCCCACTAACTACATTGTTTTAGTGTATTTATTGATTGATCAAAATGCCATTTTTTTACTCATTCATAGCTCTAAAGCATCTAATTTGGCTTTTCTTCCCTTTTCTTCTCATTCTCCCTAGAAACTTGGAATTTGTCTTCTCAACCCAGAAAGTTCAAATAGGGTTTTGTAAAAGTATGGTTGGCACGCCACCATTAACAACCATAACCAAGTCCCTACCTACAACCAGCGACGGCTATGTCTTTCTGGAACAAGGGAAAAAGAGGTGACACAAGAAAATGATTTTCATTAGCATTTTCTTCTCTCCATAACATTTTCCGGGTTTCAAAAATGTCCTTCGGGTGTTCTCCTGATTTTCAATTTTGGTTTACTATCCTCCTAAGAAGTTTATTTGTGACATGCAACCTTAGACAACGCATATTCCCAACATGAAACACAAATAGAACACAAAGACATGCATATAATATTATTGATTCGTTAAGGATATTATAATACTCAGAAAAAAGCTCCTACCAACTTGAGGGCCTGCCCAAGAAAGTCTGACATTTTCCAACTCCCCCTCCAATTCTACTTGGCTTAGAAGTTTGTGTTTTGACATCCATATTATCATCATGACTGACGCAGAGAGCCTCTAATTTGACTCTCTGTATATCCATAGACTGCATTGATACATCACTGATTTCCCCATGACCAGTGTCAGGAATGTCAATTGTGGAAGTAGCAGGTATGTGCCTTTTGATATTTCTAAGAGCTCTTTCTGTATTGTACATTTCAACCTGCATATTAAGGGCTTCAGTCTTAATGCAAATAATGAGCCTGCCATATCATAAGAAGACTTCACTTTCCCCAGCAAGAGAAATACGCTCTTGGTTTCTTAGCAATGGATGAAATGTGGTGTATTAATTTATAAACCATCCTTAAGGAATTAGGTATAAAGGCCTAAGTGTGATCCAATTCTAATAAACACACATCTTTATTACTCCCTCTGTCCTAAAAAAGAGTCATGTTTCAAAAATTGTTTTTGTCCCCAAACAAAAAACTGGTTTTAAAAGTCAACTTTCATTTAAAAGTAAAATTCGTGTAAAGCCACAGTGTTAGTTAATTACTCCCATCAATCTTGGAAATATATATATTAGGGGTATACATGAACATTTACAATTCGATGAAGTTCCCATCTCCATTGAGTTGACTTAAAATAATAAGTTGTACCTTAATCAAAGACTCTTTTTGGAGATGAAGTACACATTTTCTTTAATCCTTAAATGAATTTATAAAGGACCATTTTGAATCAAAACGACTCTGCGATAATGACCTTGATAAAATACTAGAAGAAAAAACAGCTCAAATCACAGGATTAGCACTCACGGAAATCATTATCTTGCTTGTTATGTCGCCAGCCTTCACTGAAGCAATGCGAAGGCACTGCATTATAACACTCTGTACTATGCCATTTCCTCCTGCCTTCTGAATGGCACAGACATCACCATTTGCATTAACAGTAGCTGTCATTCTTCCTCCCATTACAGCCTCTTCAAAGTGAGTTGGATCTACCACCTAAGCATGAAAGAACATTCAATTATAAGTCTAAATTGAGTCAATAAGGCTGCATAAAAGGCACTCCATTATGTAAGCATGTGAAGGCTTTCCGATTTTGCTTACCACTACATTCTCGCCACCAATAAATGCAAAGGTCACTGTGATAGGCATATGATGAATGATCAATGGAAGTGGCTCCGCAACCTGTCAATATGCAATGCAGACATGATTCAAGAGTTGAATCCCATAACACATAACAAGCTTTTACTAAAACAGTACTATTGGAAGAATGATTTAAAGGTATAGATCTTCATAATAGTAGTAATACAAATGAGTTTTTCTAGAAAATGAGGTAATTGAGTGTCGCTTAGCAACGTTATTTCTTTTACGGCTTTGTTTTTACTTTTTCAAAACAGAAAACCGAAAATATGATTGGAAGCATTTCTTTCCATTTATGGAAAATCTTACTGAGAACAATTTTAAAAAATATTGGAAAACAATTCTTGATATCATTATTTTCAAAAACATTTCAAATTTTGCACAGTTAATAAAACATTTAAAGCTTCTCTAATAATCTAATAAATACATAAACAGTAATCCCTCCATCCAACAATGATATTCCCAAGCTGACTTGGCACGGTTATTAATAAAGTGAAAAATGTGAAATTGAATGGTCATGGTTAATTTTAAAGTGAGACACAATATAGACAACACACCCCTTTCCTTACAAGGGAATAGGAAAAACATTTTAGGATGGCTGAAAAATGTAAGTAACATTTTAGGACGGAAAGAGTAAAATTTTTGGGCTCAGTTCTTGTGACACCGGCACCGGGTGGGGGAGAGGGTGGGTCCCCCAAGGGGATGGAGGAGAGGGAGATGTGGAAAAGAAGACTGGGTCACCGACATTGAATACGGGAAGGGGTGAGGGGGTAGTGGTGGGATGGGAGAGGTGATCGCCGGAAAGGTTTGGGGAGGGAGAGGCGGTTAGGGGATTTTTGAGCTGCCAAAATGGCTGAAAAACACCCAATATCACACTGGATGTCAATGCCACAAATGTCATGCCAATAAATGATATGTTCAAATCAGTTCCACCAAACATGTTTTATGCTTTACAAGTTTGAAAATGAAACAAGACAACAAAAAAAAATTTGAAGACCTAAAACACAATCCAAATAAATGCTGCAAGCCAGTTGTATGAATTTTGGTTTCATCCGTGATAAAATTCAAGCAACAACTTCAGTCAAAATAAATCCAAACAATTTGTTTGCGAGAATCATAATCCATAACAAGCGACCTCAGGAGGGTGCAAAGTAACTTCTTGCTTGTCTTCTCCTCCAACTGTGCAATTACGCCTCCGAAAAGTTGAGAGAGCAGCTAAGGCTGCAATGTTGGCAGCATCAACAAGGTTCCTAGTCCCACAAAGATGGAATGGAATCTTCAGATTTGAAGATGGTTGAGTCAGAGCATCATATCACTAATTCAAGGACACATCACACATGTAAACATAATAACTCACCCTCCATTGTCTAAAATCTGGAGATCAATACGGATAGACCACACCCACTTCCCTGCTATGACACAGAGAGATTCAGTGTCCAAAGCTCTACTTTCCCTACAATTACCGTTTTCCACAGTAAGATATCCAGTTAATTCATAATACACTCAAAGCATATCGACTGCCAAATATAAGTTCCTCAAGTTTCAGTATTGAAAACAATAAACCTACATTTCCATAATGGCCAAACAAAAAGAAATAAGTTTTAAATATCAAACCTCTGGACTATGTGTGTCACCATATTTGGCACCTGGATTATTAGCATTGTGGCAGACATAAATATTAGTTTGACTGATAAACAGCCAAACCCTAACGGGCTAACTTCAAAGCCTAACGCTCCTTACAATACAGATTTCCAAAAGTTAAATCAAAGTGCGTGACAGTTGTTTTTGAGTGATTGGAAAACTACAAAAATAATGATTGGCCACTGGGATTAACAATATTTAACCCTCATAGTTATGACCTCAAAGGTCTATATTGTAACAGTTAATGCTGTATTTCATCCATCCACAAACTGAGTTATCATTTTCACTTTTGTAGTCAAAGTATATAAAATTTGATGATAATTTGTATTAAATATTTATTGAGTTTTAATGTGGTTGATTTTGAAATGCAATTTTAGAATATCAGATGTATTACATATTTATTTTGTATAATGATAGGCATCAATAGACAAAGTGTTGCATTGGAGGCTAAAAGTCAACATGAGAACTTTATTTGGGTTGAAGGGAGTACCTTTCTTCATCATAACAAAAAATATTCACTGTCAAACAAAAAGAGCAGCCTAATGACTGGATTGGCTGCAAAGTACAGAACAAGTACTAGAGAACTGGGATAAATTGATAATGACCATATAATCACTACAGAAAACCCTTGGGCAAAGTTGTTTAAGGCACACCGAGGCGCCAAGGGCCCTGGAGCCTTGAGGCACGCACATCAAGAACACGAGGTGCACACATCAAGAACACGAGGCACAAATGAAGAACATATAAGACAGCATCTCCACATAAGTATTGCGCATCAATTTTTGAAAGAAATAAGAGAAATTTTGGAAAACAACCAAGAACCAGTCACATTGTTGCTGCAAGAAAGAAGAAAAAAGAGCATAACATAACTACATAGTGGGTATCCGACTATCTGGATGAAGAAGAGGAAGCCTGTGAGTGTTGCTGCAAATCCTCTGCGACATGTGGTGTGTCAAAGGAGAAGAAGAAAATTCTTGCTGTCGTGTGCCAAAGAGAAGTAATTTACAATGGTGTCTACAGATCCATGTATGGGATGGGCATCTTAATAAATAATAATGTAACCTTAACTTTATAAAGTCAATTTACAAAAAAAAAAGAAAAATGTTCCAGAGGTGCGGGAAGCATCACATTATGTGATGATGCGCACGGATCAGGGGTTTCGCCTGCATCAGGTAGTGTGATTGCCAGTCTATTGCGCCTCGCACCTCAGGTCTGCCTTTCACAACTATGCTGGGCCGCAGGGGGGGGGGGGTTCAACAACATTACTGACACCTCAAGTACCAAACTTAGCAGAATGGCTGAGGAGTCACATAATTATTCCACCATAACTTGAGGGATCAAAAGGACATCGCTTAAAATTATCATCCTTCATAACTCAAGAAAGAGTGAGCACCTTAGACCACGATCAATTATACGTCCCAATTCAATAGCAGACTCTACAGGGCGACCTGCCTCAAAGGAAGGATCAGCCATTGGAGAAAACTCTGTATAGATTGCAAAGCTCCCCTCGTTCGGCCTATCTCGGTAAGGTTGCACTAGTTTCGAAGTCACAAACCCCATAACATGAGTTTTCCCCAGCTGCACCTCCGATGAACCATCTTCTCTGCACATGAAAAAACAATCTTAAAGCTTTAACTTTGATCATGAAATAAAAGGAGAACTATTTCATGTCTATTAGAGATGTATTGAAATACATAAAACGCAACAATCTTTTGATTAGATTTGTAGTACATTCTTGTATTCCAGAGACAATGATTAAGTCACAGGGAGCTCTAGTTATCTTCTTAGCTATAAATTATAAGATTTCAGTGGATTTATTAAAAATGGAGAGGACATCAAAATGCATATAAACCAGTCAAATAACTATTCAACTTGGTAATTTCACTTCAGAATTTTGCTTCGTTGGTTGTCTGGACATCCCACTGCGTTACAGGAGGAAAAAAACTGAAATAGACTAGCTGACGCATGCAGTGTTCACATTTTCACCGCCTCTGTATATATACAGAGTACATAAATTTTTCAAGTCAAAAATTTAAACTTTACCTCCAACACAAACCAACAATCAGTTATCACCCAGCTCATCACCAGCCACACTAAATTAAAAATATTACATGTAGCACGAGAAACGAATACAGCAGTAGCATGCCCTCAATGGTACTAAAAAATCATTTTATTTTAAATAACTCTATGGCTATACTAATCAATGAAAAGATGAGATACAGGCATAGCACTATACTTCTATTTCCAAACATATAGGATTGGATTATGGGTTTAAACAGAAAATTAGCCTCCAACTTCCTGTAATCTTGTAAGTTTGGCAAAATTGATGTTTGCAAAACAATAGCATGTTCTAGTACACCTAAGCACAGTACGCCAAATAATAAGCTAGCCAATAACTGTATATAACATATACATACACGCGGAATAATTCAATTAGAAATTGAAAGAGAAAAAAAAAAGAAGAGAATAATCTTACCTACCGAACTTGATAGTGAGTTTTCGGTAATCGAAAGGCTGCCGGCGGTCGACTCTGATGTCAGAGAGCAATGCAGTTTCAATGAACTTCTTCTCATTCACAGTCATCCTCCATTCATTGGCCAATCTCTGCTCCATATTTGTCCCCAAATACCTTCAAAAACACTCCGTATTTAGGACTATTTACAGTCCAAATGATAACCACGGGAATAGAAGCACAGGCTATGCATTTTTGGTTAAAAAGATTAAAAATATAATAAAATAGGAGTTCTTGTTAAAAATAAAGATAATAGAAATATTATCAAGAACAAGATGATAGGGATATACCTCGATAAGAACACAAATGGAAAATCAAAGTGCAATGGAGAGTGAAAGAGAAAGAATGCAATGAGAGACTAAAAATATTGATGTTCTATTTCTACATATGGAGCCTCTATATATAGGCTTACAAAGGGGAAAATCAAAAGTCTAACTTAGACATGGAGAACATCAAAAGACATTTGTACATAACACTCCCCCTTGGATTTTGGATGTTCACCATTTAGGTAGACTTGAGCTTATGATTCTGCCTCATTGGACGAAGGAAAAAGAGTACAGTGCTTATAATGCTCTCCCTGAACATGGCAAAAGATCCTTGAGTTGACGCATTCCAATACCATTGATCATCTTCCTAAATGTCGTAGTTGGCAATGCCTTTGTGAACAAATCCGCTAGGTTATTGCATGACTGTATCTGACAAACCTCAATGTCTCCACTTTTCTGAAGCTTGTGCGGATAGAAGAATTTTGGTGATATGTGCTTCGTCTTGTCGCTTTTGATGTAGCCACTTTTAATTTGTGCAATACAAGCATCATTATCTTCATAGAGTAATGATGGAGCCTTATTAAAAGATAATCCAGAAGTTTCTCGAATGTGATGAACCATTGACCTTAACCATATGCATTCTCCACTTGCTTCATATAGCGCCATTATCTCCGAGTGATTTGACGAGGTTGCAACTAGTGTTTGCTTTACTGATCTCCATGATATTACCGCACCACTACAAGTAAAAACATATCCACTTTGCGATTTACCCTTATGTGGGTCAGAAAGATAGCCAGCATCAGCGTAACCAACAACTAGTGATTCTGAACCTTTCGAATAAAACAGGCCCATATCGGTTGTTCCACGAAGATAACGTAATATATGTTTAACACCATTCCAATGTCTTCGTGTTGGTGCTGAGCTATATCTTGCCAACAAATTAACCGAAAAGGCTATATCAGGTCTTGTACAATTTGCAAGATACATTAGCGCCCCTATATCACTTAAATAAGGTACCTCCGGACCTAAAAGTTCTTCATTATCTTCTCGAGGGCGAAAAGGGTCCTTCTTTACATTTAATGATCGAACAACCATGGGACTGCTCAATCGGTGTGCTTTATCCATGTAAAATCGTTTTAAGACCTTTTCCGTATATGTTGATTGATGGATAAAAATCCCATTTGATACATGCTCGATCTGCAGGTCGAGACAAAACTTGGTTTTCCCAAGATCTTTCATTTCAAACTCTTTCATTAAATAGTTTGCAGTCTTTATTAACTCTTCTGGTGTTCCAACAACGTTTAGGTCATCTACATATATTGCTATGATAGCAAATCCAACTTCAGATTTCTTGATGAAAACACATGGACAAATTGGATCATTTATGTAACCTTCTCTAACAAGATATTCACTAAGATGGTTATACCACATTCTACCAGATTGTTTCAATCCGTATAATGATCTCTGTAACTTGATTGAGAATAACTCACGAGTTTTCTGATTGCATGCTTCAGGAATTTTGAACTGAGTACTTTATTCATCATATGTCGGGGTATTTATACATACACAGGGAGGAGGTAAAGTCTAGGTAAACAAGGTAACCAGATATTCTAAATAATAAGAGTAATATATCTGCCATATTTAACACTCCCCCTCAGATATATCATCGTTCATTATACACTAACAACATTATGCTACAGGATAATGTTGGCCAGGTTCCTCAAGACCTATATTAACTGATACTGCAAGATCAGTTATGTTGCCTCAGTTATCTGGTCGTGCTCGCTCAGTCGACTTCCAAGGAAAAGTCTTATCACCATATGTGAACACATTACCAATCTAATTTCACCCTTAAAATTTGGTATTGCAGGACCAAGTACTTCTTCGCCCTCTTCTTGGAGGCGATTAGAATGTTATGAATATATATACGAATGAAAAACCATGGTTATGTTCAAAGGATGAGCTTTATCCATATTTCAACGTGTTAACATCTTCTGGATGTAGTTTAACTTATGGACAAATGTGCCATCATATAGGTGTTTAAAATACAATCTAAAGTATAATTTATGTCATGTCAAGATCTTCCATCTCAAATTCTCTCTTCAAGAGTTCAACAATTTTTTTTGTTTTCTCCATCTCTTCAGGAGATCTAATGATATTTATACGTTGACGTAAACTGCTATAATAAAGAATATTGAGAGCGATCCTTGAATGACAACACATAGGTTGATTTCAAATTTGTATCTTTCTTTTTCGAGATATTCACTGGGTCAATTGTACCACATATGACCAGATTACTTAAGACCATTCCACGATCTCTTCACACATATCTCGATGTATTAATTTTATT